AAGAGAACCACCGCCACCCAGAGAAATGGGGAAGCAGGGTTCTGCCAGGGCCGCCCCCTTAGCCCGCTCTGGGGGGGAGGGGGTGAAAACAGACGGGGTCAAGCACACAATAACCCAGGAGGGGCATATCCCCCCGGCCGATGTTGCGCAGGTACAGAGAGTGGGCTGGAGGCACTGCAGGTGGAGGCAGGAGGACACCGCAAAACCCGGAGTGGATTATTATTATTTTTTAAAGGACAGAGGCAGGGGTGGGGAGAAGGAAGCGGAGCTGGTTCTGCCTTGGCACCCCCTTCCCAGATGTCCCTGAGCCGTTCGAAGTAAAAAGTGGAGTGGGGGTGGGGGCGGAAGAGGGAGAATGATTTCGGGGTACTTTCTCGTATCTTCGGGACCCCTGGAAAAGCGATTCCGGGCGAGCGCCCCCAAGACTTTTAAAAGGAACTCAAAAACAGAGGAACAAAGAGGGCGGGCTGGAACGCCGCTGGGATGTACAAGGAGGAGACTCGCGCTCTCTTCGGCCCAAGGGCGGCCCTCTCACTGCGGAGGGGGTGTTCGCCGGAGACGGCCCCTTCAGAGGAAGGCCTGTGGGTCCCTAGCAGCCACAAAACGGGCAGCTGGGGAAGAAGGGAAGGAGGGCAAGCAGCTGATTCGCGCCGCGGCAGGCGGGCACCAAGAGTCAGCCGAACACGCTCAACGGAACTGGCGCCATCCAGCTGCAAATGGGCAGAGGGCCGTTCCTGCACCAGCGGCCGGGATTTGCCACCTCTGGGCCCCAGAATGCTTATAAGGACTGCCGGCGGAAGCCAAGACTTTGGGGCCACACTCTTGGCGTCTCCGGCTGACCCGCTACTGCAGCGAGAAGATGCCTCCGAACACGGGTGTGAGCAATGCTCCCTCTAAGCCGTGTAGTCTTGTGAGCAAAGAGTCTGCTTTGTGAGTGGCAGGAGTCATTTCGTAGAAAAAGAGGTGCAGGAGCTCATTAGCATAACTTGTTTGCATAGGCCACACCCCCTGACATCACCGGATGTTTGTCAGAAGGCAATCTGCTGGCTCCACTGGAAGGTTTTGGATTGCTAGCTATTGTGGGGGGGGGGAGAGAAAGTGCAGATCTGTCTTCACAGAGGAGGGACCCTCGCAGAGGAGGGAGAGCTTGTACCTAAATAAAACCTGGTCTTAAAAGTGCCACTGGACTGTTTTGGGCCGGGGGGCTGGGGGCTCTACAACTCACCCGGCTGCTTCTTGCTCTGACTGAGGGCTGCTGGGAGCAGGGGGCGGGGCTTATTGCATGTGCCCACCCCCTGGGCTCTTTACTGCCGGAGCTTTGCTCCTGTGCGCTCCCGCAGGAAATGACTTCTGGTGAGCGGCATGTATTAAACATACAGTTGAGCCAGCGGATTATCTGACATCAGTGGAAGTAAAAGGGCTCAGGTGAGCCTTCTCCTTAGACAGATGCTCTGCCCTCCCTCCCGCTGTACTCGATGGGAAATAGAAGAACCCTCCTTATGTGGAAAGGCTTTGAGCCTGCCCACTCCGGGAGATAGAGACTATAGAACATATGTTCTCCAAATGCCCACACTGTGAGGTGGCGCGTGGAGAGAGAATCACCCTTCTGATAGGGAAAAACTCGGGTCTGCCGGAAAAAAACTAAACTTGAATTTCTTCTAATTGACAAATATCCCAAGATCACTCATCAAGTAGCTCGGGTTTTGTAAGGTGATATACTCAGGTCACAGAAATTGCTTAGTGGTTCGATGCAAGCGTGACCTACATACTAGTTTTGAACACGTTTTATTAAGAAGTGTTTTTATTTTTATATTAAAAACCCTTCATATTAGCTTTTAATCCTCTGGAATGCATTATCTGTAATTTATATACATATACCTGTATATACATTTACCCAGGGGTACTTCTGGGCAGGAACGCACAGGAACGGAGTTCCGGCTGGCTTCAGAGTTGGCCATGCTAGGCAGGCGGGCGGGCCAGGGGGGCCCCTGGAAGGATCGGGGAAGCATTTAAATGCCTCCCCGTGCCTTCCCCGGCCTGTCCAAAGCCTCGCTTGCCCGGGCTTTCCGCAGCCGCAGGGCACCTAGGCAAGCCAAGGGAAGGCGTGGGGGTGTGGCCTATTATGCCAATGAGTTCCTGCTGGGCTTTTTCTACAAAAAAAAGCCCTGCATATACCTGTATGCGTATCTGCTCCTGCAGAGTGCAGGGGGGTTGGACTAGATGACCTGCAAGGTCCCTTCCAACTCAAACATTCTATGATTCTGCGACTGTAATAGAAATAAACTAAAAAACTACTTTGTGAGCTGCTGGCATTGAAGCGGTGAGCATGCAATTTGGCTGCTGCAGAAATTAGCCTGCTCTGGAGCGCCATCCTTCCCGAGCCAAGACAAAAGCGTGCGAACCGGAGGCTAAGAAACTGTGAGATAGCTCACACTAGCTCAGCTTGGAGGGAACACAGCTCAGGAGCCCCACCCTTCCTGAGCCAAGACAAAAACGTGTGAGCCGGAGGCTAAAGAACTGTGAGCTTGCTCACACTAACTCAGCTCAGAGGGAACACTGGATGAGCGTTCTGCACCGAGGGACGAAGGGGGTCTCCGTTTCCGCCATCGGCTGGGGAAGCAAAAGAGCCAAGCCCCCCACCTTGCGGTGGCCATGGGGGGGGTGAAGCGGTTAGCGGCACCTCCTCTTTGCCCCCCTCTGCTCCGCTCCCCGAGCTTTCCCCGCCTCCCCACGCCCCACCCGCCCCGGTGATTTCCCAAAAAAAAGCCCCCGCGGTTCTCCACCTCCCATACCCATCTCGGGGGGCTTCTTGTCTCCCACGTGGACGATGGTACTGCTGAAGCTACACTGACTGGTCACGGAGACCACGCTCTCGGCTTTGCTAGGCAAGGCCAACGGCGTGAGCGGGCCTCCGACCACGGCAGCTGCTGCCGTCCCCGGCTCTTCCCTCTTGGGCTGGCTCTCTGCGGTCGGCAGCATTTCCTCCGGAGCATCTGTTCAAAGAGACAACGGTGCGTTAGCAAAACGGGGGAAAGGGGCAAACCAGGAGGGTCGAGACGTCCGGGGGGGGGTCCCCTCAAGAGCGCCGACCGGCGAGAAAGGACGTCAAGAGAGCGGAAGACGGGCCCGGCGGGGCCCGGCTCGGCCTGGAGGAAGCGTGAAAAGAGCCAGTCTGGCAGACCGCCAGCATCAAGAGCGTGCCCGGGACGGAGGGGGGAGAGTTCGGCACAGCTAGAGAGACCCCTTCCCGCCGGCTCCCTGCGACAGCCGGAGGCCAGAGAGGAGGAGGAGGAGAGAGAAAGAGAGTGCAGGGCAGCGGGGGCCAGGCATCGACGTGGTTAGTGGCACTGGGGGTGGGCCAGGGAGGGAGGGAACTAAGCCGGGGGGGGAGGGGGAAACGGGGACCTACCACACGGAACAGGTAAGACAAGAGGGGGGGAATCACCTTTGCTCGGACGGTTCCCCTCCTCGCCCACTTTCTGCTTGTCATCGTCGGAATTGGAGGAGGTGGTGTAGGAGGAGGAGCCGCACTTGCGTTTCACGCGGCTGGGGATGTTGCAACTCTCAAGGTACCTGTGTGGGGAAGGAAAGAGCGGAGAGGTTAGAAGGAGGCTGGCTCGTCTGAAGGAGCCTCCCCCGCTACCCTGCATGGTTGGCGCCAGGGTTCCCTCTACGCTGAGTCCGTGTGAGCCCGCTCACAGTTTCTCAGCCTCCGGCCCAGACGTTTTTGCCTTCGCTCGGGAAGGAGGGGGCTCCGGAGCAAACTGGTTTATGCGGCGGCCAAACCGCTGGCTCACAAAGTTGAATTTTTGCTCACAAGAGGGAGCGTTGCAGCCAGTGTTCTCTCCCAGCTGAGTTAGTGTGAGCTAGTTCACAGTATTTTTCGCCTCCGGCTCACACGTTTCTGTCTTCGCTCAGGAAGGACGGCTTCGGAGCAAACTGGCGTATGCCGTAGCCGATAAATCGCCTGCTCACAACTTTAATGCCCGTAGCTCACAAAGTAGAATTTCTGCTCACAAGAAGACTCCGCAGCTTAGCGGGAGCCCTGGTCCTATCTGACAGTCCCGTTTACTGCCTTCCTACTGTCCCCTGACCAATGTTCCCTCTAAGCTATGGAGTCTTGTGAGCAAAAGTTCTACTTTGTGAGCTACTGGCATTCAAGTTGTGAGCGAGCGATTTGGCTGCTGCATCAATTAGTCTGCTCCGGAGCCATCCTGCCTGAGCTAGGACAAAAATCTCTGAGCTGGAGGCTAAAAAACTGCGAGCTAGCTCACACTAACTCAGCTTAGAGGGAACACTGCCCCTGACCAAGACAAGAGTTGTTGGGGGTCCCCCTTTTGAGTCTCACCTGATGATTCCGTCCAGGCAGTTGATCTGCTGGTAGGAGTAATTGGAGGGTTCCTTCCTCACCGACTCCTCGGAGGCGGCCGCCTTCCCAGGCCTCTCCACTTCCCGCAGGGTCTCCATCGGCTGGACGCTACGATCGACTGGGGCTTCAAGGGCTGGAAATGAAGGGGGGGGGGGCACAGAGGTTACGGCTGAGTCTGATGCACCCCCAGAGTCACATGAACGTATGTGAGGCTGCCTTCCACTGGACCAGACTCCATCAAGGTCAGTCTTGTCTGCCCAGACTGGCCGAGGCTCTCCAGGGTCTCAGGCTGAGGTCTTTACATCTCCTCCTGCCTGGCCTGTTTTGCTGGAGATGCCGGGGATTGACCCTGGGGCCTTCTGCGTGCCGAGCAGAGGCTCTGCCACTGAGCCACGGCCCCTCCCGCAGGGAGACTGAGAGAGAAGCTGTCTTCCCAAGCCACACTGACCCCTGGTTCGCCACAACTCGGGTCAGCTGCCCCTCCACAGTCACCGTCCGCTGACTTCACTTACGCTTCACCTTCCGCCCCGATCGGGACCCGACACCACACTGACCCCTGGTTCGCCACAACTCGCTCAGCTGCCCCTCCACAGTCACTGTCTGCTGACTTCACTTACGCTCCACCTTCCGCCCCGATCGGGACCCGACGTGGCTTACGACCTTCTCCTCTCCTCCCCTTTAACCCCACTACAACCACCCCATGTGGCCAGGTTAGGCTGACAGCGTGCGACTGGCCCAAGGCCGCCCGGCCAGCTGCCATCGCAGAGTGGAGATCTGAACCCAGGGTTCGATCCCAGTGATCTCAGCCTGACATGCTAGCCGCTAAGGCGGCCATGGAACTGGGAAAGGAGGGGGGGACACAAAGCACGCCCTCGTCCCACTCGCAGCCCCCCCCCACCTCACCTGCTCGGGTGTGCTTGGCGGATTGGGGCCTGACTCGGGATTCGATGAAGACCTTCTGGCCCTGGTTCTTCACCATGTGCACGTCCTTGCAGATCTCCTGAAAGGTCATCTGAGGTCAAGAAGGGAAGACGCGTCAGAGCCGCCCACCGTCCCCCCAAGCCCCGCCCACCACCTCCAAGCCCTGCCCCTGGCTCCCCAATTCCCGCCTGAGAGAAAGCCTTGCCAGGAAACCCTCCCTGACCAGCTCCACTTCCCTTTCTAGGTCGTTCCGGGATCCACAGGGCATCCTTTCCAGACGCTCCCCTTCCCCTAACTCCCTGGATCTCTTCAGGGAGGGAATCCCCAAGGGACATGGGTGCCGGAGCCCAAGAGGGTTGCTCTGCACGTGCACACACACACCCCAGCCCCCCATCGACTGCTGCTACTTTAAAAAATCACACTTCTGCAGCAAATGACTAAGCAGGCTTTGCTTCCTTGATCCCCACAACACCGTCCCTGCAACGGCATGCCTTACGAGACGGGCCTCCCGCTCCCCAAACGCCCAGGGGAGACGTCTGCAACCGGGCCGGGCTCCCGCACTCACCGGCCGCACGGCCTGCGCCTCCTCGTTGGGGAGGCCGTTGCTGTCGCTGGAGGAGGCGATGCTCAGGAACTGCTCGTGGGAGGCGTTGCTGCCGATGCTGCAGAGCCCCGTGGATCCGTTGCTGTGCACCGGCTGCGGAGGGGAGAGGGGCGTGAGAACCCACCGTGGGGGGGGAAAGAAGGGGGCGCGAGGGCAACGGGAAGGGGAGAGGCTGCCGCTGCTCACCTGCAGGAGGAGCCGGTGGATCTGCTCAGACAGCTGCTGGATGTTGTGCTCGACGGGCCTCCCCTTCTGCGTTTTGGGGGGCGTGAAGACGTCCTCGTTGAGGGGACCCCTGGGGAGAGCGGAAGGTGGGAGGGTCAGAGGAAGTCTCGAGGCCGCGAGCCCCACCATCCGACGACGCCCTGAGCGAAGGAGGAGGACTTCCCTGCGTCTGACCCACCCTTCTGCTTCGGCGGTAGCCAAATCGCTTGCTCACAACTTTAATGCCAGAAGCTCACAAAGCAGAATTTTTGCTCACAGGACTCCACGACTTAGAGGGAACATTGCCTGTGAGGTAGGCGGGGCTGAGAGAGCTCTCGAGAAACTGCCCTTGAGAGAACAGCTCGGAGAGAACTTGTGACTGACCCAAAGTCATGCCAGCAGCTGCATGTGGAGGAGTGGGGACTCAGACCTGGTTCTCCCGCCCTCCTAACCGCTGCACCAAACTGTCTCCCCCCGCCCCCCCAAAAAAACAAACCCCCTCCAAAATCAGCCACTCACGTCCGGACTTTGTGCCTCCCCATGATGAAGGAGACCTTGCGGCTCCAGGGGTTGACGAAGCTGGACCAGCTGGTGTCGATGGTGACGTACTCGCCGTTGCGGGCGCAGAAGCGGATGGGCGAGTGGTCGAAGGGCTGCCCGGCGTACTGCAGGACTGGAGAAGAGGAAGGGGGTCAGAGGGGGGCCGCGGACACCCCCACCCGGCCCTCATGGGGTCCGAGAGCTTCCGGCCAGGGCCGTGGCGGATCGGACTCCCCCAGCTGCTCTTTGCCTTGACGGGGGACTCACCTTTCTTGTGCATGGCCAGCATCAGCGGCCGATCCTCCGGGTGCAGGTAGAAGAGGACCGGGGTTCCGATCAGGTCCTGGGGGAGGTAGCCCAGCAGAGGGGCAGCCCTGAAACGGAAGCACAGGCCAGCGATCAACAAAGGGACGCACACAGAGCTCGGAGCCACCCTCGGACTCCGTACATGTTTATCTGCTTCACTGACACCCCACCTTCCTCCCCAACGGGGGCCTAACGTGGCTTACGTAACGCCCTTCTCCTCCATTTTATCCTCACAACAACCCTGTGAGGTAGGCGAGGCCAAGAGGGTGTGACTGGCCCAAAGTCACCCAGCCAGCTTCTCCTGCTAGAGCGGGGAATCAAACCCGACTCTCCCAGGTCCTAGTCCGGCGCTCCAATCGCTACACCGCGCTGGCTCTCTCAGTGGAGCAATTCTCCCAACCGTCCAATTGCAGCACACACACCCTTGTAGGCGTGGAGTTGCGGATTGGACAAGAGAAAAGGCCTGCGCCAAATCACAGCTCTCTTAGTGGAGCAATTCTCCCAACTGTCCAATAGGAGCACACCCTGGAGGAGACGCCCCTCCTTCCAACCCCCTCCCCGCACCCTTATCTAGCCTTCCTCTAGGTGCCTTACCGTTCATCCACGTCCTGGAATAAGCAACTGGGGGTATGTCTGGTGGTGAAGATTCTCTTATCTGGAGGGATTCTGGGTGCTTGAGGGGGGGGGGAGAAAACGCAGGACACGGTTAGAACAGGCCCTTCTGAAAATGACGGGCATTCTCCTCCATCAGAGATAACCCGGCACTGTCCTATGAACAGCAGTGCTCTCCCTGAAGCAAGAAACTCTTTTGGTCAGGGAGAAAAGCACCACCAGGAGAAGAAAAGACCTGTGGGCATGTTCCCTCTAAGCTGAGTTAGTGTGAGCCAGCTCACAGTTTTTTAGCCTCCGGCTCACACATTTTCGTCTTGGCTCAGGAAGGATGGGGCTCCAGAGAAAACGAATTGCGGCGGCGGCGGCCAAATCGCTGGCTCACAGCTTTAACGCCGGCAGCTCACAAAGTGGAATTTTTGCTCACAAGACTCCACAGCATTGCCTGTGGGACCCCGCCCAGTGTGGGAAAGGCTCAGACAAAGGGAGCTTTGTCCACAAGGGCGAGGGCCTTCTCAGGCGTGGCTCCCGTCCTGTGGAGCCTCGTGGGACCTCCCCCTAGGTTCCACAGGGCAGGCAAGGCGGCTCTTTTCCGGGCGGCCTTTGGGTGACCGTGGTCTGCCAGGCAAGCTGACATGCTTCAGCTGGGTCCTCACCATCCACGCATCCTACCCTGCTTGACAGTGGATAGAGCTTTAACGGGGACAGCTTTATAACCGTTTTATATTTTGAAGATTATTTATTGCATCTCTGTGTTGCTTTTATCGGCCAATCTTATATGCTGTTGGCCGCCCCGTATCTCATCCGGGGGAGCGGGAGACAACTTCGATAAACAAATAAATAAGCTTCGACTCTCCCCTCCCCCCCAAAAAAAATCTTATTGGTATCTTCCTGGACTTGAATCTAGCTATTAAAAAAAAAAAAGATATGAGCAATGCGCCCTCGAAGCCATGGAGTCTTGTGAGCAAAAATCCTACTTTGTGAGCTGCTGGCATGAAAGTTGGGAGCGAGCGATTGGGCTGCTGCATCGACTCCTCTGCTCTGGAGCCCCATCCTTTGTGACCTAAGGCAAAAATGTGTGAGCCGGAGGCTAGAAAACGGTGAGCTATCTCACGCTAACTCAGCTTAGAGGGAACCCTGGAGATGGGGTGCCGGTCAGTGTAGTCTGTGAAGCCAGGATGTTTACTGACACGGCTTAAACCTACCCTCTCCTGCCCCCGTGTGGTCAGTAGGGATGTGCATTTCGGGATCCCGAACCGAAAAAAAAGCCGAAAATAACGATTTTCGGCTTTTTTCGGCTTACGACCCAAAGAGTATCGGGCCCAACGGGGACTTCCAATTGATTGAAAGAACTGGGGAAGACTCCTGACCGGTTAGACGTGATTGCTCCTATACTGAATGGACTCCCTGCAAGTCACAGAGGGCTAGCACTGACTCCGAGACACCGAAAGGATCTATCAATTGATTGCTTGTTGATGATTTTAAAGGAGGAATACGACTCCAGAGCTAGTCCGGATGTTTTGTCTAATGAGGTGTCTGTTCTGAGTTTGAAACATGTGCGCTGAGGGGGCGGTGGATTCCCGCAGGCAGGACTCCCCTCCCCCCCACTTCCGCCCCCGCCTCCTTCCTTACCTTCGTAACCCGAGTGGATGCGTTCGGCGATCAGCAGGCAGCAGGGCTGTCCTTCGGCGTTATCCGAGTCGCGCACTTTGGTCAGGTACGGCGTGAGACGGAAGGGGTAGTAGCGCAGCTCCCGCCCGCTCTCGTGGCCTCCGCTGAGAAACAAATGCCTGCAATAAGACCAGAGGCCAGAGGAGACCAGGACGACCAAGGAGGAGGGAGCAGAACAACCCCGCCCAACTTCCCTCAACCACCATCCCCCCACCACCGCCACCAACAGAGCACCACCGCCACCTACAGAGCACCACCGCCACCTACCCCGAGCACTACCCAGGAAGGTCTCTCCCACCTTCTCACTCACAGGGCAGGAGGAAGGGTCCACTAGGTCTACCCACTAGGACAGCTGCTCTCTGGACCTTTGCACTAAACTCAACATTTATTCTCCTTCTGGAACTTTTAAGCAGGCAGGCAGGCAGGCACACACCTCGTCCTGTCCTTGGTTAGCTGACCCCCACAACAACCCTGCAACGGTAAACTGTCACAGGCGGACAAACTGCGGCAGAGAACACGCACCTGGCTCCGGGACACCCACCCATGCCTTCACACGGTCCGAAACCTGAACTGAGGGCCGACACTGTTTGCATTTCTAAGCCCTGTTTTGACCAAGCTGTTCTCTCGAGGTAGTTTATAAAACAAATAAGTAGCTTCGCTAAGGGCTACTGAGAAAAGGAAGAAGAGGAGGAGATTGGATTTATACCCTGCCCTTCACTACCCAGAGGAGTCTCAGAGTGGCTCACAATCTCCTTTCCCTTCCCCCTCCCCACAACAGGCACCCTGTGAGGTCGGCGGAGCTGAGAGAGCTCTTTCGAGAACTGCCCTTGAGAGAGCAGCTCTGGCAGAACTATGGCTTGCCCAAGTTCATCCAGCCAAGTGCAAGTGGAGGAGTGGGTGAATCAAACCCGGTTCTCCCTGATTAGAGCCCACGCACTTAATCACTACACCAAACTGACTCAAGAGGAGAAGAGGAGATTGGATTTATACCCCACCCTTCACTACCCAAGGGAGTCTCAGAGCGGCTGACAAACTCCTTTCCCTTCCCCTCCCCACAACAGACACCCTGTAAGGTAGGCGGGGCTGAGAGAGCTCTGACAGGAACTGCTCTGTTTCGAGAACAGGTCAGAACTACGGCTTGCCCAAGGTCATCCAACCAGGTGCACGTGGAGGAGTGGGGAATCAAACCCGGTTCTCCCAGATTAGAGTCTGCGCACTTAACCACTGCACCAAACTGGCTCTTGGCCGACGGACTGGCCTACCTAGCCCAGACAGACAGATAACATGAAAGGGTGTGTGTGTGTGGACACGGAATACACGGGGTCATGCACAACACTTTGCTGCAGGGCCAAGCAGTTTCAAAATGCATTACTCTCAAAACACCGTTGTGTATGGAAATAACCTCACGCACCTCCACCAGGCCAGAATCCCGCACCGCCTCCCTCTTCCCTCACCGATGGCCCGTGCATATTGTTCTCGCCATGTACACCTTAATTCTGAAAGCACGTGTGAAGCGAGAGACCGGGCAGAGAGGCAGCCCTGGCAGCAAAACTCCCCCGACCCAAAGCAAACCGTTGCCGAACGCCAACACAGACTGGTTCCCCCCCGCCTCCCCGAAATGTCTTCTACCTACCCCCCCTGCACCTCGGGGTCCATCCCAAGACGGAACTCACCTGATTCGGCAGAACACCGATTTCTCTTGGGTGTAATCCATGGTGGCGGCGGCAGCATCTAGAGAGAGAGAGAAGAATTCACGCAAAGGTTAGCAATGAACGGGGCCTGTGCTTGAAATAGATGCTTTCCCCACTTCTTCGTTCGATCCCAACTTTTAGCTACTTGAGAAGCCAAACGGCGCTCTAGAAGACCTCGGACGACAAGGCAGGGGCTTAGCCGTAGAGTGGACTCCACGCCAAGAAGAAGAAGAAGAGGAGGAGGAGATTGGATTTATACCCTGCCCTTCACTACCCAAGGGAGTCTCAGAGCGGCTTACAATCTCCTTTCCCTCCCCCCAACAGACACCCTGTGAGGCAGGTGGGGCTGAGAGAGCTCCGAGAGAACAGCTCCGACAGAACTTGTGACTGACCCAAGGTCACACCAGCAGGTGCATTTGGAGGAGTGGGGGCTCAAACCCGGTTCTCCCAGATTAGAGTCCACCGCTCTTATCCCCTGCACCAAACTGGCTCTCTTTTGCCGCCCTCTGGGCACAGGCAGCGCTTACTGGCAGAGGTGCAGACGCTCCAGGAGGGCAAGTGGTACGGCGCGGTGGACCCGTAGAAGATGCTGACGTCCTGCGGCGCCAGGAACTCGGCGAACTTGGCCCCCTTGAAGACGTCCCTCTTGCAGCGCAGGATGAAGGCGGCCTGGTCTGAGATGTAGGCGATCTTCCCCGTGATGAAGGAGACGGCGACGGAGAAGGTGTCCTTTGAGAGCAAGAGACGACAGCTAGTGTTGGGGGGGGGGGAAGCCGCCGGGCAGCAGACTGGCAAGAGAAGTCGAGGGGCCACAGCGGCCGAGACGACGGCAGAAAAGGGGACCCGCGGGACCGCGGACCCGGCCCCTCGCATCAGCAGCTCTCTCTTTTCCCTATTGCTCGGGAGACTCCAGATGCGCCTGGCTAGCTGCTGCTGAAGGTGGGATGCCAGATGACAAAGCCCTGGGAGTCAGCCGGCACGGCACTCCTGCTGTTCTTAGCAGGGACCCAGCACCAGGAGCCTAAGCCAGCAGCACCCCATTGGCCTGTGAGAGCAGCTGACTCACGGCCACCCCTCAAGGGGCCGTTCCCGGCAAGGGACGTTCAGCCGTGCTCTGCTGCTGCCTGCCCCTGTGTAGTGGCCCTGGGATTCCTTGGAGGTCTGCCAACGGCTCCCTCTAACCTGCGGAGTCTTGTGAGCAAGAATCCCACTTTGTGAGCTCCTGGCATGAAGGTTGCGAGCGGGCCATTTGGCTACTGCATATATTAGTCTGCTCTGGAGCCCTCCTTCCTGAGCTGAGACAGAAATGTGTGAGCCGGAGGCTAAAAAAAACTGCGAGTTAGCTCACACTAACTCAGCTTAGAGGGATTTGGCTGCTGCATAAATTAGTCTGCTCTGGAGCCTCCTGAGCTGAGACAAAAATGTGTGAGCTGGAGGCTAAAGAACTGCGAGCTGGTTCACACTAACTCAGCATAGAGGGATTTGGCTGCTGCATAAATTAGTTTCCTCTGGAGCCCTCTTTCCTGAGCTGAGACAGAAATGTGTGAGCCGGAGGCTAAAAAAAACTGAGCTAGCTCACACAAACTCAGCTTAGAGGGATTTGGCTGCTGCATAAATTAGTCTGCTCTGGAGCCCTCCTTCCTGAGCTGAGACAAAAAATGTGTGCGCCGGAGGCTAAAAAAACCTGCGAGCTAGCTCACACTAACTCAGGTTAGAGGGAACACTGGCTGGTCTCCCATCCAAATACTAACCAGGGCTGAGCCTGCTTAGCTTCTGAGATCGGAGGGGATCAGGCTCGCCTGGGCCCGTGAGGCCCGTGATGAAAACAACTGGGCAGGGACACTCCCAAGTCCACCGGCCACCTTTGCGGGTCCTGGGGCCCCTTTGACAAGAGTCGAGATCTGCCAGCTAAGCGCGGAAAAGGGCTCCTGGGGAGTTAATGGGAACACTCACGGGGTTTTTCAGGGTGTACTCCGAGGTGATGTTCTCCAGCTCCTCGATGGTGTATGTGGACATGTCCAGGCTACAGGGCTGGCTGTCGTCAATGGTCCATTGCTGGTAATAATCTTGGCTGGCTGAAATGCAGAGGGGGAGGAAGAGGAGGCGATCAAACCGAGGCTCCGGAAAAGATCCCCGTGCCGCTGGGGCTCCAGATCGCGTCTTGACAGACCATTACTCAGAGGAAGAGATGGGATTTACACCCCGCCCTTCACTACCTGAAGGAGTCTCAGAGCAGCTTTTCAATCTCCTTTCCCTTCCCCTCCCCGCAACAGACGCCCTGTGAGGTAGGCGGGGCTGAGAGAGCTCTTTCCAGAACTGCTTTTTCAAGGACAGCTCTGAGCAGAACTATGGCTTACCCAAGGTCATCCAGCAGCTGCAAGTGGAGGAGCGGGGACTCAAACCCGGTTCTCCCAGATTAGAGTCCGCGCTCCTAACAACTACACTAAACTGGCTCTTGTAACTGACCCAAAGTCACACCAGCAGCTGCATGTGGAGGAGCGGGGACTCAACCCCGGTTCTCCCAGATTAGAGTCCGCACTCCTAACCACTACGCCAAACTGGCTCTTGCAGGGAGACCCAAATTGCAAGGAGAAAACAAAAATGCTTTTTGTGACGGAAAACCCACCAGGCCCGCCCCAGTGGGAAGTGCTTTGGCTCGAACCCGCCCACTGAAATGAGTGCACTCTGTCCCGTTCACGTTAATGGGGCTGAGCACAAGTAGGCCCCGCCCAGGTTCTTCTGGGCCTACACTTGTGGTAGAGTTTCTGGCTCACAGGCATGGCTCTTCTTGTAGCGGGAACTCCTTTGCATATTAGGCAACACCCCCCCTAATGTAGCCAATCCTCCAGGAGCTTACAGAGCTCTTCTTACAGGGGCTGCTGTAAGCTCTTGGAGGATTGGCTACATTAGGGGTGTGTCACCTAATAGGCAAAGGAGTCCCTGCTACAGAAAGAGCCCTGCAGGGCATGGCCCCTTTCTGAGGTTTCATGAGCGCCTGGGGTTACCGCTGCTGGAGATGCGCATCTAGAGGCAGGCGACGGAGCCTACCTTGGACCTGCTTCACACAGGACAAGGCGTACTGCAGGGTGGCCAGGGTCCCCGACTTCCCCTTGCTACGCTTCTCGGAGGGCAGCCGGATCTTCATCTCCTTCAGCGCCTTCATCAGCTCCTTCTGGGTCTTCACCCGCGCCGACTGTTCACTACTGCAGGGGCACAAAGGTCGGGAGGAAAAGAAAATTGTAACAGCGGGCCAAGACCCTCTGAGGCTTCTGCCAAAGTTAACCTGAACGGACTACAGCTCTTTCCCACCCATACACTTTCCCCTCCCCCGCGGAAGGTATGCAACTCAAAATGACTACTTTTTTAAAAAAGAGAAAAAAAATCAAGTGGAAATATCCATTTTGATTCATTGATCTTAACACAAAATAATCCCATGAAGGTTTCCGACTTTTCCCAGCTCATTTTCTGCTCCACCTGATAAGAATCCTCCACTTTCTCTAAACGGTACGTCTTCCCACTATGCCAAAAAACTAAGTGCAGAAAACAGACTTCCTCTTTCAAGCACCTGTATCCCAAATCATTTCAACTGGAAGTCCCTTTCCTTTGCCTCCCCCCACCTTTAAGCAGGGAAAGATCTCTCAAAGCTTTTAACTGTGAAACAGCCTAGACGGCTTGTCTCCGAAATCAGGTACTCAACGGTCCAAGATAAAGACCGAAATAATAACAATATCGTTATGAGGTGACTTATAGTCTGCCTTTCTCTTGCTGAGACTCAAGGTGGATTACCTACAAACGGTACGTCTTCCCACTATGCCAAAAAACTAAGTGCAGAAAACAGATTTCCTCTTTCAAAGGCCTGGTATTTTTTTCGCGTGTCAAGCACCTGTATCCCAAATCATTTCAACGGGAAGTCCCTTTCTTTGTGTATAATAGCCTTTGCCTCCTCCCACCTTTAAACAGGGAAAGATCTCTCAAAGCTTTTACAGCCTAGACAGCTTGTCTCCGAAATCAGGTGCTCAACGGTCCAAGATCAAGACGGAAATAATAATATTGTTATGAGGTGACTTATAGTCTGCCTTTCTCTTGCTGAGACTCAAGGTGGATTACATACAAACAGCAGAAGAGCCCTGCTGGTTGGGACCACTACTCACAACAATTTAAGGAAACAGGTGAATTAGTGTAGACCATATGTAACTTAACATCAAACAAAACTCCAAAGTGTTTCAATTCTTAAGCTATTCTTATTATTTAAATATACTATTCAAAATACGCTGTTCAAAACAGTTAGCACACAGACAGGTTAAGAATCTGAGGGAAATACTATTCAAAACGTGCTGTTCAAAACAGTTCGCATACAGACAGGTTAAGAATCTGAGGGAAACGTTACAATCCCAAAATACACTACACAATTCCAAAGTGGAGGAAAAAAACGTCACGATTCCAAATTCGCCTGGAAAAGTACAAATTCTTAATGTCCATAAAGCAAGCAAGACCAGTCCTTAAAACTTGAGGCAAACAAAAGGACTGGTCTTACTTGAGGCAAACAAAAGGACTGGTCTTACTGGCTTTATGGACATTAAGAATTTGTACTTTTCAGTCCAGTTTGGAATTGTGAAGTTTTTTTCCTCCACTGTGTCGTCTATTTTGGGATTGTAACGTTTCCCTCAGATTCTTAACCTGTCTGTATCCTAACCGTTTTGAACAGCGTATTTTGAATAGTATATTTGAATAATAAGAATAGCTTAAGAACTGAAACGCTTTGGAGCTTTGTTTGATGTTATGTATAGAATCTGACCACCAGTCAATCGAGTCCAGCATCCTGCCTCACAGAGTGGCCAACCGGTTCTTGAGTTCCCTTTCCCCCACCCAGAAAAAAGGGAAACAGAGATAATAATATGATAAGAAATTGCCATCTCGGATTTTTATCTACACTGAAATTTCTATTCGGTTGTAAATGAATTTTAATGTTTTGCATTTTATGACGTTGTGTCCTGTATATCGCCCAGAGCCTGGCGTAAGCTGGGATAGGGCGATTAACAAATCTAATAAATAATAATAATAATAGTAATAATAATAATAA